CCACCAGCCTTAAGGAATGGGTTCACAGCCAGGCGGTGGGATACAGCTCTGAAATACAGAGAAAATATCCTGTATTCATAGCATGGGTGCCTTGGCCATGCGTGAACTGATGCTGATGACATTCACATGTAGCTGTGATGCCTGAGTGGCTTAAGTTGCTCTGAGGGTCTGTGCAGAGAAGCAAGGAGGACAGACACATTTTAAACAGACAAACACTTTAGTTGTGTTTCTGTTGAAGGCTATGAGCACACATTTGACTAGAAACATGCAATGCGTGTGGCTGATGATGTAAGAAAGGTAAGGCACAATAAATGTAATGTGTGTATGATGGACAAATTGTGTGTCTCTTCTACAAGCTTGACAAAACTGGAATAAATTCATTTGAGCTCTGATTAAATGTGGATGTGAGATGTTATGCGATTATATATGAAATTGAATTTAAAGGGTAACTCCAATACCAATGATACATTTTAACTATGAATATATCACAACGTATACCATACCTTGAGGTCAATAATTACAATAAATGAAAAGCAAATCCCTTTCTATTGTCAGTAGATATTATTATATAGCAATCCTTGAATGTCCGCATTTTGACAACAGTGGAAAAGTTGCATTTAGAAACCTCTGCACATATCATTTCAATGCAATTGAATACAATAATATGGCACTTAAGAAACACAGCTTTAAATTAGCAGTTCAAAACAGATGTGAATAATACGGATCAGCTATTTAATGCTGATCTACAGTATGGTTAAAACCTAGGAATACTGTAAAGTTTTGTTTTACCAGCAAAATAAATTACATTAAATGAACGTGGTAATGATGCCTAAAGTTATTGGTCAGGCCGGGATTATAATGGGCACCAATTGGTGTTAAGTAAAGCGTTAATCTAAAACCACTCACTACTAAATATGCATTTTAAGAGTCATACTTCCAAATACATATTATTATTATATGAATGGATTTCAAAGGTCCTAACCATCACCTACTTCTGTCAACAATCCCACAATAATGTAATGCAAATGATACATTGGTGGATAACAGTAATGCTAAATGACACATCAGTGATGACAGGAAAACGGTGATGATGACGATCAGTAAGGGTCAGACGATTTCCTGCTCGTTATCGTGTCAAATATGAGTAGTTTATTATCTAGGCATGGCTGATTGAGAGAAAAACGTTCCTAACAGCTGTTGATACAGCATTAGCTCTTTGTTAAGTACTGTTGACCTTGCTGCCAGTTATAGAACATCACGAAAACTACAGTGGCGAGATGGCTGTGGTTGTGTGTTGATACCATGTGTATGTCATTCATTTTTCAATCATAACATACTTATATTTATTTTGTATGTTCTCACTGGAAAACTTGATTTCTTTCATTTTTCTTAATTCCAAAAGGAATGACTGAAATGCTAACAAAACCAAACCCTTTAAATTGCTACAAGGAATCAATGAATTCTTGTTCTACAAACGAGATAACCCTTACAGTAACCCCTATAATCGTGCTGCAGACTGATGTGTAACCGGGGCCTCTCGTGGGTGAGAGGAGGATAGTGTTAAGGAATCCATCAGATTGGTTGTCCTCCCACAAACTAGCTAATCAATGTACCATGTGCAGCGATTACAAATGAGTCCTATAAAATCAGATCCTAAAATAGATTCATCATTAAAATGCATTGAACGAAGATCATGAATCGATCACAGAATATCTAAGGAGATCCAGTGGTGCTGAACTCATAACATATTTAAGAACAACAATATGATCATCTCTCACGTTGGCATCACATTAAAGACAATGCCGTGAGAACATTGGATAGGACAAGATGAGAGTTGGCTCTTGTGAAATATTTACTACTCCTGCTTTTAAAGCCCTGCAATCTCTGACTGATTGTGTCTGACACCCCTTTAAAATTCACAGGAGATAGACAAAGGATCAGAGATGTATTAGACAACATGCAGGGCCTGCAAAAGACTGTGTTGTCAGTGTGTGTGTGTGTGTGTGTGTGTGTGTGTGTGTGTGTGTGTGTGTGTGTGTGTGTGTGTGTGTGTGTGTGTGTGTGTGTTTGTCAGCAGTATCTGAAGCCCACAGTGCCATCAGGCTCTCAAAAGAGGAACTGCCTCCTCTCATAGCTTCCCCCCCCCCTCATGTCTCCACTCCAGTCTCAGATACTTACATCTGATTGTATTTCTTTATTTCCCAGCAGCTTGTCACTTAAACATATAGATGTTGCGATGGCAATATAAGTTAGTTTGTTTCAATTCACCGTCAGAAAAGATTCTTTGTTAGGAAATGTATGTATCCGTGCGTCTGCATGCGCGTAAACGTGTTCTGGTGCGCGCTAACAGGGGGTGGAATCTCAACATACAAATCTGGACAGATAAGACAGGTTAACAAAACGCGCAGTCTAAATAAATAAAACAGCAAATGAACAGACTGCATGTGCGCTGCGATCAACCATACAGCACATCCACCCACCCATACACACACACAGTTTTACCACACGCACACACTTGAGTAGGACACCGGGCAGAGTGCGTTCCGCCGATCATCTCCTCCCTCCCCTCAGCAGCAGATTGCTGTGCCTCTAACGACAGACAGTCACAAAGTGTTGTGAGCGCGAGGCTGTAGAGAGACTGCATCAAGGAGCGAGGACTGCATGTGCGCTTGCATCGGGAACGGTGCGTGGGAGTTGTTCTCTCTCTACCTGCCATTTGCATTCCTTCTTTATTCTCCACGTTGATCCTCGGACGAGTGCGGGCGCACAGGGAGTCCCATTACCGAGGGAGGATCGCGCTGCGTGTGTGAGCGTGTGTGTGTGGGTTAAAAAAACTACAGCTGTCATCTTAGAACAGCGGCACTGCTGTTGTGGAGAAAGTCGTTGGAAATCTGCAAGAAACGGGTGGCTGCTATCTTTTCTTCTACCCCCCTTCAATTTTTTTTTTTAAAGCTGTCTTTTAAGGCGATGGACTTGAGATAGTGCGTCTCAATTTGAGTGTTGGTGACTGGGAGTTGCCGTCGGGGAGAAATGCGAGAGGATGCTTGGAAGCAGTGAAGGATACAGCAGGTGAGTTTTCGATTAGGAAAGCAAAAATGGGGTTCTCTTTTAACGCAGACTATTGTTCACAGTGTTCATTCTCATGTCGATGCAGTTTATCATGTTAGCTCAGCCCAAGGTTGTAAGAGGGGTGGAGATCCAGAATGCAGCGGTCTGGGCTACTTGGAAGGAAACATCCCTCAAAAAATGTGACTTATAATGTGTCTTGGGTGACGTTAATTATCACGATAGGCTGTCCTAAAACTCCTTGGATAACATTCCGATGTCAAATCGGTATATTCCAAAATGTCCGAGAAAGTACGCGATGATAAGGGTAGAATCGGTTGACAGGACAGAAAAGCAAACGGGGACTTGAGTGTGCTTAGGCGCGTCCTCTGCAGGTAAAAATCATCTAATCCTGGCACATTGGAAATTAATTTAGAGATGTTATCCTTTCACATTTTGACAGTGTAATCTGGCCATTTCTCTGCGTATGTGTGCATGTCTGGGATGACGAAGGCTTAAGCCATTCAAATGTAATTGTCCCGTGAATGTGAGTGTGTGAGAATGGGGCGTGTGTGAATGTGCAGGGGAAAGGGGTGTTTGGTGGGATTGCAAAATGTTATCTTAATCTAGCCTTGATTTGGCCATTTATGGACTTTGCTGAGATAGCATTTCAGTGTGAGGCAGTCGTGATCAACCCCATATGCCATTTCATTCATCTGCAAAGATGGCTATCTGTTAAATGTGCAGCGTATTAAAGCAAAGCAGGCTTCTGCAGCAGGAGTCGTGCATTTCATTGATCCTCAGAAACGACTTTGGAATTTTTGGGTTTTGAATATGACAACAATGGGGTCCTTAAGGGGCTTACACTGCAGGACACAGGATGAAACTTGTGTGTGTGTGTGTGTGTGTGTGTGTGTGTGTGCGCGTGTTGTTTTTTATTCAAGGCAGCATTCGCAGAGTATATATATGACAGTGGCCCCTGAAATGTTTCCCTCTTTATTGTCTAGCACTGCTCCTTATAATGACACACCAAAACAGTTGCGGCAGAGTATCAGAAAGCTGTGTGATGCTGTGCCTGCGGACATTCATAAAGTGCTGTAGCTCTATTGGTTATAAATAGCCGGAGGGAGCGGACAGCCATAGCTCGAGCAGCCTCTCCCTGCTTTATCAGCGCTCACCATCCAAAATGATAGATATCTGATACACCCTGAGATATCACACAGAGGCAGGGGCAAGTGTGTGGCACATGGGGCTTCATAGATGCATTATAGCCTCTTATGAGTGCTTTGTTTCCCTCCTTGGTTACATTCTCTTCTTATTAAGAAATAACTTTAGTATTTTCCCTCTGCTAGGTCCCTTTGTGACACTCAATAGTGACTTTAGAGTCGCCTTATCACACCAGATGTTTCCCTATAATCCTTTATACCGTTCACTGCATTCCTTTAGGTTTTTTCAACTTCACTTGCAGGCTTTAAATCGTATTGCTGTCGGGTTTTGATCTATGCGATGATTCGGGACGCTGCTGACTCAATCATGGCTGCCTTGCAACAGCCAAGAGGATGCTGAGGTGTGCGATCCGCTTTATCCACACGCCCTGCCTGCCTCGATTAAACAAATGTGCGGCCGCTGACCTTGGCCATCCAAGAGTTGTCAATAGGATTCACCTTTCTGCCCTGCGATAGGCTATAGGACATTAACAACAGAGCCCACCAGCTCGCTCTCCTGCAACATTATGCTGCTGTTGACATACTATATTGAATTACAACACAATGATCAATGTTTGCAATAAGCTAAACCTCCACACAGAGTATCAGATGTCTCAGGAAAATCATGCTCCTCATAACAGCATTACATTTCTACGAAGAAAGGTTACATCTTGGCATGTTTGTAATTGAATCTCATGCAGAAAGGATGGAACAGCAAACCTAAAACCAGAATAAGAGTGTGTGCTGCATTTTAATAAGTTGTAAATGAAATCAGCTTCTCTGTAGATTTGTCAGCAGACCGGGGCAGTCGAGACGGAGTGGGCGGTGACAGTGTGGACCATGATGTTAGTGCATGATGACTGATCACAGACTTGCCTTCTCACAACGCACTAAATGACCAACAGTGTTAGTGAGAGGGCTAATGCTGGCTTATGACGTGTAAGCGCGTCTCTTGGAGACACTCACCCCGGGTGTAAAGCCGACACCTTCTGCATTGGCAAGGTGTTTATTAGCTCCCAGTTGTGAGGCCTTGATGCCTAGATTATCCACACGTTGCTGGGAGATTTAACCCGGCACGGCAATCATGTTGCCTTAATAAGACCTGGCTGCCATTCCACTTGATGCCAACGCCTTCATACATCTAATGTGCCCTGGGCTGGATAACATGTTCATAAAACGCCTGCGGTGGGATCACAGTAGAAATGTAGACATTCAAATGGTTGAAGG